ATCATTCGGAAGGTTGCAGAAAGCTGAAAAATTACTACCTTAGTACAAGTTGTTGGCTTTCTATGAAAAAGAATCTAAAAAGAAGGTAGCATTTAGCAGGCTGTAAAACAGATATTTACTAAAATTCACCTAAGATTAGCACAGAGTTAATAAAATGAAGCACCAAATAAAAATCAAATTTGATATTAATGGCTTTCAAGAGAGACTGGCTAATCATAACACCACAAATGGCACTGTCTGGCTATGAAATGTTGGTTTAAAAAGTTACCTGTGAATCCATCTCAAGTGAGAAAATATAGTTTGGCAGAGATAATGCAAAGGGTGTTTGGGTTGAGTTCAATAGAGGCTATTTTATGTGCGTAATTGTGCATACAGATTGAAACTGACAGGCTTGCAATAAATTTTGTTTCTAAATAAGATAATTACCGCAGAAGTCACTTATTGTGATCATTACAGAGACAGAGTCTTTTAGATAACAATTATCAGCTGATAACTTAAGCAAAGGATATCAAAATTGAGGCAGTTTGCATTCACTGTTACAAATTTATTGTTATAAACAAACTTACATTATAAAAGTTAATATGAAATTAACAGAGTTGAAATTATTATTATTATTTTTATTTTAATCCAGTGTTGATTTGTAGTAGTGGAAGTGCATGGTGGGATAAATGCTAAAAACATTGTTTCAAATCATTAGAATCAATAAAAGAACAATGCTTTTTTTTTTTCTGCTTTGCTCAAAAGAAAATTATTTTGTACTACAATAATCACATCAGTGTCAATGTCCCTGCAAGGCATATTCCACGTAAGGAACCATCGTTTTTTTGCCTCTATTTATTAAAGGATTTAGTCAGTTAAAGAGAAGCAAAAAAAAAAAAAAAAATTTTTTTTTTTTTTTTTTTTTTATTCTTTTTAAATATTTGGTACCAATTGGTTTTGATACCATTAATAGTAATTGCAATAAATGTCTTTGTAAGTAGTCCTTTCATTTTTACAATCATATTCAGACGGGACCTTTTACATAACATACCTGGCTGATAACATTAAGCAAAATATATAAAAATTGGGTTAATTTACATTTACTGTTGTTAAATTTGTAGCAACAACTTAAGGGTTAAACACTGCCTACGGCTATAAAGGATAGAAATTTGAGGAGAGCCATGATTGCTCACTTGTTCAAGGGAGATAGCACATAAAAGGAGGTCATTATAAAAAATACAAAATTAGGCTGAAATTATTAAAAAATTTTTTACGTGTTTGAGACAAAGTGATTTTAATTACAATAATCAATTGATACAAATTATGTTGGATTATAAATGATTGGTTGGTTGGTTTATTTTCTATATCAACATTTGTTTGGTTATTTAATATCAAATTTCTAATGATGCACCCAGTAAAGATTGAAGGAAAATTGGCTCCCTGTACCATGCCGGGAAATTTTTCTCCCCGGAATCGATCCTCCAGATCTATAAATCAACAATTCGCCCTTGCATGGAGTATTGCTGCCATATATGGTCTGGAGCCCCTTCTGTTTGCCTCGGGGTTCTTGATAGGCTCCAGAGGCGGATATGCAATATAATTTGCCCTGCTCTGGCATCTCGTCTACAGTCACTTTCTCACAGATGCGCCGTCGCCTCTGTCTGTTTTACAAATACTTTCATGGCAATTGCTTCAAGGAGCTGCATTCGCTGGTTCTCAGACTTCATGAGTTCAAAAGCGCCTATGAGGCTGGCATCTCGCTCTCACCCCTTCACTGTCAGAAACTCCTAAATGTAGCCGTCTCTTCTACTCCAATAGCTTCATGTCTCGAAGACTCTTGCCTGTGGAACTCCCTTCCCTATTCTAGTTTCCAAGAGCTATAATCTCCAGCTATTCAAATGTAATGTCAATCGACATCTCAGTTGCCTTGATCTATCCACTACCCTTCTCCTCATCCTTTCTTCTATCACTCCTATCTGATCTTGTTCTAAACTTTCTGTAACCCCTTGCATCCTAGTGGCTTCCCGCCTTGCTTGGGGTGAAACGCTTTAAAAAAAAAAAAAAAAAAAAAAAAAAAAAAAAACTCACAACCTATTAGTAATGGCCAACCAAATTTGTCTAGTTAACCATTATCTTACGCTGAGGCACTTATATATAACAAATTATTTTCTCTGTATTACCAAATATTTTTCATAGCAATGTTTTAGTTAAAAAAAAAAAAAAATTTTCACCTATTTCTCATATTCAAAATATTTTCTTGGAGAAAAAAAAATAAAAAAGAAACAAACCAGAAATTGTTTATATCTTTTTTTTTTTCTTTTTTAAGTCCTGATGGTTTGTGTGTTGGGGTGTAATGGATATTGGCACAGAATGAGAAACTGGAGAGGTGAGTTTGAATTCCAGTTGGGTTTGTTACAGTCACTTACATACAAATGCCCTTGGAAAAGGTATGAATGCATTTCTTCTCCCCCTATCTATGGGTTGAATAGCAGGGTCCTATAGCCTTAATTGCCAACCAGTCTGCCAAAGCAAAAAAAAAACAAAAAAAACAGCAACCTACTGCAGGGAAATCTTTTGCTTAGTCAGTTATGAATCAAAACAGACATGATTGCCAAAGTGTGTATCCTGAACTGATTGAATGATGGTTTAAAACCTTTTCTTTAATATCATAAAATTACATTTAATTCAGGATATTATGTCTGAATTCTTTTTGCTGTCTTGTAAGGCCAAGCTGTTGGCACACTGTGTGGAATTTGCAAAACTGCTAATTTGTTATTTGGAACTCCCAAAATATTAAATGTCAATTGAAGGTTAAAATTGTTCGTCATTTGTTTATAAAGAGGTACACATGATTTTCGTTGATATGAATTTGCTAAACTGATTTCTCATTACTATTAAAACTTGGATCATTGGATCAGCAAAAAAAAAAAAAAAAAAAAAAAATTTGTTTGGATAAGTTAACTTCAACTTTGTGTGGTGGTGATTTTTGTTATTCAATAACATTTTAGCTGAGCACTCAGCAGTTTCGTTCATAAATTTGAAAAGCGTCATTAACAATGCAAATTGTAGTTTATGTTCATCACTGATTTTAGCAGATCCATTCTTTGGCCCTTATCAGGAAATGAAAAGAAAAAACATTTTTTTCCTCAATAAAGTCAGGCTAAACACCAGTTTTATTTGTTTGTTTGTTTTTTCTTTTAACTTCTTTGACTTAGTAAAGTCGGTGCTTTGAATTGCATGAGTAGTTGGGTGACAAGAGGGTATATCTATCTTGAGTGAAATGGATGGGTCGAGGAGATTAATGACCATCTTTTTTTTTCTATGGCATTTTACTCTTGAAGAGAGCTGAAGAATGGTTCAGCAAATAGACTTTGTGAACAGTACTGAGTAAATGAAGAAGGGAGTTAAAATCTCCAATTCTAATTGTTGATACTGCCAATTCCAATGTTAAAATGTACAAATATTTGTTATGATTGTTGTGGAGTGGTTTCACAGAGGAGGCTTGTATTTGTACTAAGTCGGTCCTAAAATAGGTTCGACGTACAAAATGTTAGGAACTTGATATAATAGGTAATGACGCAGAGAAAATCTAGTTGTGGTCACTGATACTTTAGTATCCGACTAACGGTCGTCCTACATCGACTGAGCGACTTCCTTGTTACTCTTACTACTCCTACTTATTATAGGTGGGAGAGAGTATTAACTATAGAATAGGTGTGTTCCACTATAACATATTCACATCTTCACTTAATTGTATTTATCTGCACACCTAATTGAACAGTATGTAGCAAAGATCAAGTTTAAAGTCGGTATCTCACATGAACCTGAGACCAAATGTCAAAATAATATTCAAGCTCAGCATTTCCTCTTGAGTACACCTCAGATAGAATGGATTAACTCTATCCTCTTACCTAGGGAGAGGGGTACCACCCAAGGAGACAGGTCTTCAAAGACTGGACTTCATTGTGTTGGTTGAAGCAGAAAAGCCCAACTCAGTGGAATTTATCCACATGCCAACTCAAATAAAATGTGATATAAGGATAAGTTTAAAAAGGAGAACCCATGCATACATAAAACTGGAGACCAAAAATAGTTTAACCTTCCTTGGTATTTCTCCTTTTTGTGGTGGAGGATGTCTCTAGTACCAAGAATTAATTCTATCCCCCTTCTTGAAGGAGTATTGTAATGAGTATGAAGCTTATATAATTATAGTTTAAACCACAAGACAGAAATAATTGCTTACATGCAAATTCCTCAATAGAACCATCTATATTGATCAACCATTTAAATCAAACATCTAATTATCAAAGAGAAGATAACTCATAATTCTATCATGGATTTAACAAAAGGTGTCCAATTGTCTAAATTTTTTTTAATTTTTTATTTAAACAATTTTCAAGTGCCAAAAGCCACTCAAGGTCAGAGGTTATTAAATTAGGTTGTTTTATTGACATGAGAGAAGGTAAGAAGTGCAGATATTGAGGATAAGGATCCTAAACTTGAAGAAGTTAAGATTTGGAATATTAAGAAATCTTTTCAAACTTATAGACAAAGAAATCTTTTTCCAATTTTTAATGGTGACAGGACAAAAAAGAGCTTTATGCAAAGAGAGATGAGGTGTTCCACCTATTGACTTCAATAAAATTATGCAATTTTATAAACAAAGATAATCTTAATGATATGTTAATACTGTCATTAAATTAAGATCTTTTGTTGAAATGATGAAAATTTTAAAGAAGAAAAAGAACCCATGCTACCATCATGCATAAAATATCACAAATTGAGATGTGGGTCAGGTTGTGTATGCAAACCTTGTCTGACCCACAATCCCTTTTTCTTGCTTTTAATCATTCAAGATTTGAAGTACAGGAGAAAGGAGGAGAAGGATGTGAATAAATATCAGAGAAAGACACAAAAAAAAAAAATAAATAAATAAAAAAAAAAAAAAAAATTTCTTGCTTTTGTTTTAGTAAAAGAACAGTCTACCAAATCAATCCAGAGATGCAGGAGGTGAAGTGGAGTCATATGAGTAGTAGTAGTAGTAATAGTAGCAGCAGTAGAGCAGAGCAGTAGCAGGCAAAAGGGTTTGTCACACCAGCAGCAGAGTGCTGGAATATACTAGTTGTACTCACATTCTCCGTATCCAGTTTACGATTAGGTTCATACTAAAAAAAGGAAGCAAGGAAGGACCAACTTCAAGTGATGCTCTTTTTTGTGTTAAAGATGATTTTTTTTTTTTTTTAAGAAGTTTGTTTTCGTCTTTTTTTTTTTTTTAAAGGGATTTTGAAGGGAATCCTTTTTTTTTTTTTAAAGGGGTTTTTGTGGGAATAAGTTCTTTTTTTTTAAAGGAGAAGGGGATTTTTTTAAGGAAAAGGTTTTCTTTTAATGGAGAGGGGTATTTTTTTAATGGCGAGGGGTATTTTTTTTTAATGGCGAGGGGTATTTTTTTTCAAGAAAAGAGAAGGGGACTTTTTTTAACGAAAAAATGGGGGGATTATTTCTTTTTTTTTTTTTTTTTTTTTTTTAAATGAGAAAGGTTTTTCTTTTTAAAAAAAAAAATAAAAGGAGAAGGGTATTTTTTGTTCTGAGAAAAATTTACTAAAATGGGCAGAATTTGCAGCAGCTGCAGTAGCAGATGTGGTTATTACAAAATCAAAAAAAAAAAAATAAGACAAACATTCAAAAATTTAAACAGTGAATACATTTTAAGAAATTATCAAATTGAAAAAAATTCATTCAAAAAATTAAATGTTTTGTCATTTTATTTTAAATTTTAAAAGCTGAAACTATGAAAAATAACAAAAAACACTCATTTCACATAATTCTCTGCAAAAAAAAAAAAAAAAAAAAAAAAAAAAAAATGAAACATTTAAATTAAGTAGAAAAACAAATTAAAACACAAAAATTATCAGGTATCAGTTTACTTTTAATAAATAAACTACTATATTTGATACCATACAAGAACCACTTCCTCACAACTCCCAAAATTGGAATTTCATAAATTTGCAATAAATGCACAAAAAGAAAATTATTTTGAACTGGACCAAATAGGGATCATGGATGAAATTTTCAAAACATTCCATGTACTATCCAAGATTTTTTCTATTAATTTTCCCTACTGAAATGTCTTATATGCCATTAAATATGGTAATTGGAATAAAAAAGTGTTAGATTTAATTTTGTTGATACCAAAGTTGAAAGATGAAGCAAAAGTATTTTGAATTACTTCAAAAATTTTTTAAACTTTCAAATATTAAATTATTAAATAAAAAAGATTTTAAACCAATATGTATTTTAAATACCATATTTTCCAGCTTACAAGACATGGTAGCTTGGGAGGCACACCCTAATATTGGAAAGAAATTTCTAAAAAAAAAAAAAAAAAAAAATCATTCTCATATAACATCACAATCACCATGCATACCTCACATACTGGCACTACATATTGTTTACATTAATCACTTGTCGGATTTTGTTTTGTATGTCAATAACATACTAGTCAAGAGCAGAAAGGCTCCCGCTGCTGATACTAAAAAACAGAGCATGTTTAAGCTTGTGGCTTGGCTCCAGGAAGGTTTATAGTCTTAGAAATACTTGTAACAGCTAAGTACTGAGGTTACCTCATATAAAAGGTTGAATTAGATAGATAGCTAACATAGTGTAATTGACTCATAAATCAGTAAGGAAGACACACATATTTTTCAGGATATTTTTTTTTAGGAAACAAAGTGCATCTTGTAAGCCAAAAAATACAGTAATTCTTTTTTTATGTGCCATGTGGATGTGGGTGATTGATTATAGCTGTCCACAACCTCATGCCTTTTGCAGTTCTTAGTAAAGTTTGTCTTTTTGCTATTTCTCCTTGTCTTTGTTCCTCTAAATATTTACTCAAACTCATTAGTTAGGTTATTCACCGTTTTCCCTTCTCCCTCTTGCCTTTCATTTATCCTGTGAGCATCAAATTTTCTAAGCCGCCTTTCTTCATTATGTTCCCTAAAAAAATTTAGCTATCTCTTTCTGATATTAAGTGTCTTTTTTGTTTCCATCTCTAAAACTTAATTTCTCATATATTCAGACCATGGTATTCTCAGTATCCTTCTGTAGAATCACATTTTTGTTGATTCAAGTTTTTTTTTCTTCATCTGTGAGGAGATTGTTCAGCATTTACTGGCATATAGGAGGACTGATATTACATAACAGTTCAGTACTTTTTTCTTTGTTTATAACAAAATTTTTCTTACTACATTGCTTAGCTTTTGGAAGGCAACTTTTGCCACCCCAATGTACCTTTGTATTTTGGTGCCATGTTTTTGCTTGATTTTGGTATCTCTAATTTGTAATTCACATCTTAGGCTGTTTCTTTTGCTGACAATCATATGTTCTATCTTCTAATTAATGCTTAGTCTTTTCTTCTTGCTTTCTTTTACTACCTTCTGTAGGAGTTCCTGTAGTTTCCTATGTCTGCTATTAATACTGTATCATCTGTATATGTTGTTAAGACTGTGGCTGCCAATAATGAATCCTGTTAGGACTTCTAATTCTCTCAAGATTGCTTCATTGTAAAGTTTGAATAAGTCTGGCGAGAGGACACATCTTTGTCTTTCATCCCTTTCTATTTTTGTATATTTACTAAATTCCTTTTCTATCTGTATGCAGGTGATTTGCTCCAAGTTCTGAATAATTCTAATATCCTTCCCAAATAAATCAAGCTTACCTAGCATTTCCAACAATTATTTGTGACATACTTTATCAAATGATTTTGCATAATCTATAAAACACAGGTATACATCCTTTTGCATTTGTATTGCTTTATGTTTGTCTTTTTTTTTTTTTTACTTCACAAAATTGCTTCTCTCTTTAACTGACTAAATCCTTTAATAAATAGAGGCAACAAAAAACGATGGTTTCTTACGTGGAATATGCCTTGCAGGGACATTGACACTGATGTGATTATTGTAGTACAAAATAATTTTCTTTTGAGCAAAGCAAAAAAAAAAAAAAAAAGCATTGTTCTTTTATTGATTCTAATGATTTGAAACAATGTTTTTAGCATTTATCCCAGCATGCACTTCCACCACAACAAATCAACACCTGTGACACAATTTCATTCCACCATGGATTTATGTATTAAAGAATTTGGCTATGAAATGTAAAAAAAAAAAAAAAAAATCAATCTACTTTTCATAAATGAATAAATCAGATGATAAAAAGAACACACTGGGATTATCATATCCTGAACAAGTTTAAAGATTTAATATCTAAAAGTTATACCAATGACAGAACCAATTAGTAAAAATTATATAAAAATATATTTATTATCTATATAACAATTTAATTTATTAAAAACAATTTTTTTCTGAAATATGGATAGTTTAAAAATAACATCTCCACAACCAATTGTTAAAAAGATCGTGCTTGATTTGGTCTCATGTGAGTGAATTCAAGATCAAAACAAGTCTAATTTAATCAATATTATTATGTCTTCTTATTTTATGGACACTATCCTTTCAGGAAGTGGGTGGTTATGACTCTCCACAACTTCCTATTCTTTATAGAATTAAGTAATTTTTGTATCCTTACTATCCTTCCCAATCCATGTTCTGCCATCCATTTACTCAAGCTTGTTAAGTTGGTTACTTACTGTTTCCCTTTGTCCCTTCAGGATGTAGGCAATCATAGCTCTCCACAACATCCTATCCTATATAGCTCTAAGCAATGTTTATCTCCTGACTTACCTCCCAGTCCCTGTTCTGCCATCCATTTCTACAAGCGTGTTAGGTTGGTTAATCACCATTTCCCTTTGTCCCTTCAGGACATGGGTGATCATGACTCTCCACAGCATCCTATCCTTTGTAACTCTAAGCAATATGTCCCCTGACTATCCTTCCTAGTCTCTGTTCTGCCAATCATTTACACAAGTTTGTTAGATTACCCCACGCAATATTAACATATCAAATTGTTGGTCATTTCAAATGTGTTCAACTGTAATAGAAACATGCTACGATTGTGAGAGTAGATTTTTTTTTTTTTTAAAAAGAACTCAGGGAAACAATTTCAGCAGACAAGGATGATTCATAATATTTAGATAAAACAGCAAAATTTTGCTGCCATTTCTTCTTTTTCTTGCAATGAATTTATAACTGCACTTATCTTCACCTGCTGCTTGTTGCTGACCTATATGCAAGTTTTTTTTTTTTTGTATTTTTTACTGGTCTAATTTCTTCCCTGTGAACCTATTATATATGTATACACACTCAATACCGACATTTAATATATTTTAAAACTTGTTTATTTACTAAGTTTCTTATAGAACTTACTGTGGGGCAGAAAATAATCATACTTATTATAAAACCCAGGTTTGTGTGTGTCTGTTTGTTTTATATATTGGTTGGATTTCCTATATTTTTCAACCGATTTCAACAAAACTTCACAGGAAATTAAAATTACCTTATCATTGGTTCTGACAGTGCCAAAATTGGAAAAACAATTGTTTTTTGCACAAAATCAATTTGAAAACACAATTAAAAACAGTATCACGAGAATGAAAGGGGACAACTCATATCAGTTATACTTATTATAAAACCCAGGTTGTGTGTGTGTGTGTGTGTCTTCGTTTATATATGGATCAGATAAAAAAAAAAAAAATTAATTATATGCAAGTTTTTTTTTTTGTATTTTTTTTTACTGGTCTAATTTCTTCCCTGTGAACCTATTATATATCAATACACACTCAAAACTGACATTTAATATAATAAACAATAATCTTTGTCAATTTTATTTTTCAGTCTTTATGATGGTCAATACTTGATCTATCTCTTACTGTTACATCCACGGGCAATGCCGGGCTCTACTGCAAGTGGTCTATAAAACTTGCTAATCAGTACACCATAGAGAAACAACTTCTATTTATTAAGCTTAACTTAGTCTTGTGCCAGACTAACCTCCAGCGATGATCAAACTCCTGACACAACAGCTGATAGCTGAGGCACTCACTTAACAGTTAACATAATTGTTTTTACCAAGTGATAAAATCAAAAACCAACCTTTAAAGGTGTCAAGTTTTGGTCCTCAGTTACACTATGAGTTGGCTTGAAGTAAAGAATGCAATGTGTCCAATGCAAACAGTAACAGCTGTAAAATATCCTCAAAATACAGCAAAATATCT